AGACGGAGAGAGAGACGGAGAGACGGATCTCTAAGCGCTGTGGGTCCTTTCGAACCCAGCGTGTCTTTCTTAAGAAGGCGATAGAGGCTCCAATTGCCGAACCCCCGGAGCCTAGCAAACTCCGGGGCACCGCTTACCAACGGCCTCTAGCCTCTCCCCGTCACCGATCGCAGCCCAGACGAATCCCTACCCTAGAACCCAGTTATCGAAACCACGGAGTCTGAACCACTCCGAGGATCCTGGGAACCGAGTTTTAGAGTCCTCCAACGAGGATTGAAGCGGAGTTGTACCTGGAAACTGTCCAGCCTGCACCGCAACCATCTCCGGTGTAAGTAAATAATCTTTTCAATCAACCATTACGCCTCCGTGACTGATTCTAGCTCGAGCGTACTACTCCACCACGCAACTTTTCTCCGGCCCCGCGTGCCCGGGCTGCCGGCCACAGCCCGCGTGCACACAGACGGGCCCGGCTCGTGCCCGGCGAGGACAGGACCGGGAGCCGGCCCGCACACTAAGCACAATAGGCTAACTTTATTCATAGAAATCTTATAAAAATTTGCAGCAGTTCCATGAGATTAAGTCAATGGGAGCAATGTACTTAATATCTTGTAAGAATCCCATGCACCAATACAGGCCACCGGGTACAGGCTGGGGGCTGACTGGCTGGGCAGTAGTTCTGTAGAAAAGGACCTGGGAGTTACAGTAGATCATAAGATGAATATGAGCCAGCAGTGGGCCCTTGTTGCCAAGAAGGTTAATGGCATACTGGGCTGCATTGGTAGGTGAGTTGCTAAATGAAGGGAAGTGATTACTGCCCTCTATTCAGCACTGGTGAGGCCACATCTGGAGTACTGTGTTCAGTTTTTGGCCCCCCACTACAGAAAAGATGTGGACAAATCAGAGAGAGTCCAGTGGAGGGCAACAAAATTGGTGAGGGGGCTGGGGGAACATGATTTATGAGAGGCTGAGGGAACTGGGCTTATTTACTCCAGAGAAGGAAAGACTGAGAGGGGATTGAGAGCAGCCTTCCACTACCTGAAGGGTGGTTCCAAAGAGGATGGAGCTAGGCTGTTCTCAGTGGTGGCAGATTACAGAACAAGGAGCAACGGTCTGAAGTAGCAGCAAGGGAAATTTAAGTTAGACATCAGGAAGAATTTTCTCATTAGGAGGGCAGTAAAGCAGTAGAACAGGTTACCCAGAGAGGCTGTGGATTCTTCATCCTTGGAGGTATTTATGACCAGGGCTAGACAAAGCCTTGGCTGAGATGAGCTATTTGGGAATGGTCCTGCTTTGAGAAAGAGCTGGACTTGATGGCCTGAGGTCCCTTCCAACCCTAATTTTCTATGATTCTATGAATCACAAATTCAAAAGATTTTTAAAGCTAGAGGGGGCTACCATGATCATCTAATCTGTCTTCTGCAATGACACAAAATTTTGCCAGTAATTCTTTCATTCAACCTTGTGGCTAAACTAGAGTTTATTTAAGAATTTATCCAGAAATATTTGTTACGTCTTTCAGACATATGCTAAAATGAACAGGCTCCTTTCCAATTACTTACTTCACAAACTTGTCCACATGAGACATGGAAGCTTCATAGTTTTTTCCACCAAACTCTTGACAGTGTAATGCCATGAAGTGTGGCCTGTGTGCATGAACAACCTGAAACATATAAACATACATATGTTATGTTATATAAGTAGTCAAATTATATCAACAGCTATTACAATATTGAGCAAAAAATGAAAATGTAGATACAAGTTTGGTCATTTAGGTAAGTCATTACATGAGAGAAATTCTATTATATATGAAAATAAGATAATTGTCAGAATCATAAATGTGGGAAGGAGTTCTTGGCTTCTTTAATGCACTCAGAATAGAAGATATTAATTTACACATCTAAAACACTTCATTGTTATTATTAAATAAATGATTTCTTCCTGGTTGTTCCTAGTCACTTAAGTAAAATGCACCACATTATCTACCTAATCTCACCAAGGGCATATGTTGGTGAATAAACAAAAATAAAACTCTGGCTTTGCTTATGGTGTAAAAGGGCTAAACAAGATTTTTGAAAGAGTCCAAAGTCCTTTATTACTTCTGAATTTTTTTAAAATGCCGTCATTTTTTAAAGTTCCAAAAAGTTCTTAGTAACTATATAGTAAAAATGTTTCCATGGAGTTCTGTTGCACGTGTATTTCATTTACTTTAGATTCTACAGTATAGGACAAGGCAGAGAAATCCATCACAATGCTAATATATTGCACAAAACTGAAACTTAAGTATTCTAGGGGATATGAGACTACAGTGAACCTACTCAAAAAACAACTTATTTTAGTGTGGAATACTGATATATTAGTTTTTATTGGCATTATCTACCCTTCTCCATGGGAAGACCTGTGGCAAAAGGACTAACTTTAAAAGGAAATCTCCATGATACTTTTGCCACAGATTTGTCTGTGATCATGTCACTAGGATATGGGTAGGTTGCTTATCACAATGGAAAAGGCCACAGCAATAGCTCCCAGGATGGAGACAGAAGTTACATTTGTAGTGTGATCAGTCAGATAAATCCCAATGGCAGGACAAATTAACCATCATTTAGTGAGGGTTCAGATGAAGGTGCTCCAAAGCAGAGCACCTTCATTAACTTCTGTTTGTCTCTGCCTGGGAGCAGGAATGGGCTGGAAGCTCAGAGGGGCTCCAATCCATTTGCCCCACCCTCCAGCACTAGCTGGGCAAAGATGGAGCTCCCTCCTCTCCCTACCCACCCCTCCCATCCTGAAGACAGCGCCAGAGCTGAGAGGGGGATGTCAGGGCTAGGGGAGAGTGGCTGCAGATATGCAGCCTCTCTCCCCTGGATCGGCTCCAAAGTGGAGCTTGATCACCCCCTTCCAACCAAACAGCAAATATCTGTTGGGTCAGGGAGTTCGCTGTAACTCATGGTACTTTTTGTGAAGCGCCATGACAGTGAGGCACTGAACATCTGTCAGCACTCCCAAATTATGTAGCTCCTAAGGAACTGGGAAAATAGTTGCCATGTTAGCTTTGTGACTATGTTAGTATTATAGGTAGCACACATATCAACATCTATAGTTAAGTTTGACAGTTTCCATTTCAAAACTATGCTTAAAAGTAAAACTATACTTAATTTTTCCAAACTTTAACTGTTCAGGCCACCATTTTTCACATAAGATTTCTACCTAAAGGAAGATTTTTTGTACACTCTCTCTGAAAATTCAGATTTTCCTGTTTTGCACTGGGATGAATCCATGACCTCTATAAATTCTCTCACGCACAAAAAACAGTCACCAAGAAGGTAAATAGAACAGGTGGCAGACTAGTGGTTGGGGCACTTATATTGAACATGAGAGAACAAAGTTCAGAGAAAACAAGAATCTGAGTGTTGGTCTCCTGCATTCTGGGTAAGTGCCCAAATCACTCAATTTGTTAGCTATTATGGTATAGGTCAGGGGTTCTCAATCCCCGGGCCATGGCCCTATGCCGGGAGGCGGCAGGTCAGCTGCCGGTCTGCAGCACGGTCGGCTGCCAGACTGGAAGTGGCCATGGACCAGCAAACCACGGCCCCCCAGAGCCAGGTGGAGAGGCCATGGCTCCTTCTGCAGGGCCCATGGCAACACAGGGTTTGGCCCACCCCCCTGTGCACGGGGTGGAGGTATCCTTACCCGTCTTCTGGCCGGAAATTCCAGCCATGGTTGTCTGTGACTGATGGGCTGCAGTTTGCCAGGCCATGGTGTAAAAACTTTGTGAACCCCTGGTATATGTCATCTATCCTCCTGGTACTATTCTATATTATATATACACAATTAGATAATCACAAGGTCAGGAAGAGCCAGAACAACTCTAGAGCCCAGAAGCAAGGGCATTCATTTGGGATGAATGAAATTCAGATGCAAGTTTGACCATACCAGCTCCTGAAAAGTTGCATATGGTTTTGGTGTGTTGGTCTTTTCCAACAAAAAATATTTTGTTAAAACATTTCTAACAACTCCTTTTTGATGCAACTGCACAACCATGAAAGGACTATCCAGAATAACCTTACTGTGCTTCTGTTTGATTGTTTCTGGCCCTCCCACTTGAGAATTCCAAGATATGGGAACCTGGGTAAACTGTACCTCGTAAAAGTGTAGGAACAGAAATACGCTGACCATATTCCTCTTATACTTGAGGAGTGAAACAAGGGACCCAGACCATGTTATTTGGGTGTATGACAGTGGTCTCCAACCTTTTTCAATAGGAGATCACTGTTGACATTTAAAAGCACCCTAAGATCTACCATGTGCTGCTGCTACCGTCCTTTTGGCACATCTGCTTCACCTTCTAAGCTGTCCAGTCTTCACCTCCTGGTGAAATGCAAGCCCTGGGTCATGAAATAACCTCCACAGGGTAAGAGTACAGAGGAGACTAAAGCAGGGAGGGACAGCAGAAACCATCTCCTCCATGTGTCAGTTCTGATCTGGGGCTATGGAGTTACTTTTCACATCTACAAACAAAATAATTTTCAAGCAAAACATAGGTATTTCTTCTCCAGTCAGCCTTCTCACTAACAAAAACCCATGACTTTATTCATTATTTTACTACTGAATTTTAGAAGAAGAGCCTTGTCTCTACTCATAAAACTTGGTGATTCAATTTAATACAGTCGCCTAAGTTCAAAAGGATTTGGGTGCTGAGATGACCTCTAAATTCTTGACCCACTTTTTCTCTCTCATGTACATACACAGTCATATACAATTCTACAAACATAATCTGCAAACTCCCTAGAACAAAGAGTTAGATCTGAAAATTCCCAAATTTAAGTTATTAATTTGTTACACGTGTGATTTCACACAACTGAGGTACAGAGAAGCCAAAGAAATTAGTTGTGATAGTTTAGTAACAGATTTCAACTGCTTTAGACTAATGCCCTAGATCTCAATTACATTTCACTTAATACCCGCATCTAGAAGCTTCTATGTAGAACTGCTCCTTTGAGCAACAAAAGTGATGTTCTAGGTCAGTTCCAAATTGAATGGGAAACTTGATTCATTGCACTAGAAAGGTATTACTCTAAGATGTATAAGATTTCCTCCCAACTGAATTTATTGTTTCATATAGCAGTGAAATGGCAATAAGACAAATATATTAAAAATCTTTTGTAAATAGCCTTGGCTCTCAGCATTTTTAAAGCACCATACTATAATTTATCATTAAAATATAAAATATGACCAGTCTCAATTCTTCTCATCACTGCTGTGGCCTTGAAATTGATCCACTTGAGTTTACAGTGATCTTAAACAGAATTGCTTTTAACTAGTCAAGTTCTTTCACATGGTGTTGAGTGCAGACCATTACACTGAAAAGAGATTCATCTTTTAAATGTTTTTTTTATATTTTGATCACCACCAAAAAAAAATCTACAGTGTAGATTTATGAATAAAATTTTTAAAAGAGCCAATAACAGAGAAAAAGGTAAGAAATAAAAATAAACAAACTGTTATGATCTATAGATAAGGCACAAACATTTTAAAGTACCTTAGCCTCAATGAAACGTCACCAATTTCAAAGAAACTGCTTCTAATTTACAACATTGTAAGCAATACATGATAAAGCACATGGAAAAATAACTAGTTAAAGGAAGATGTTGGAATGATATGAATGGGTTTTAGTCTGTATGTAAGCTCTCAGTCAGTAGGATGCCATGGCTCTTCATTTCTTATTTACATGAAGTGGAGCATCTCCTTCCAGATTATGAAAGTTAAAATAGGGGTGATTTTTAATGAAAACTAAATCCAGCAAAGGGACTACAAACTTTTTGATGGGGAAAGAAGTTTATTATGATCTATTTTAGCAGACAGAGAGAGAGAGAGAGAGAGAGAGAGAGAGAGAGAGAGAGAGAGAGAGAGAGTATACAACTCAGGGCATGTTTTAAAATCGCAGCACAGCATTTAGAAATATTATTATATAGCACATGAGAAACAACAATTAACTGGTTAACTGCACAATAACCTTAAGACCAGCTACATGTGCAAAGTATTTATAAAAACTTAACTGTGCCTGCAATGTGGCATGGCAGCAGGCACAACTGTGTAGTAGATCACACATTAGATCCCAGCATGCCTTTACTTGCATATGCAGAAGGGACTTAAATGCCCTGTGCCTAGATTGCAATGTATTGCTGTTTCTCCAGCACTTTTGCTGGCAATTGCACTACAGATTGTAATTAAGGTAGCATAAAGTTAAATTTAGCATAAAGTCAAATTTAGTTTAAAAAAGAATCTGAATCAAATTGGGAGACCAAGTAAAAGCTCCAAATCAATTCAAAGCATCCAAATCAATTTGGAAAAGCTTTGGAAAAGATTCAGCCGATTCGGAGATTCATCCATAAATTAAACAGGCAGGTGACAGCTGCCTCCAGCTGGTTAAGTCTGTTGGGGTTGGGGGAGGAAGGAGGGAAGGGGCACTGGGGAAGGAGGGATTGGGGCTGGGACAAGCTGTCCAGCAGGGGCAGGGGTGGTACGTTACTCGGGGAGGGGGGCAGGAGGATGCAGGATGCAGGCATGGAAGCACTAGGAGTGGGGGCTCTGCCCAGCTGCCGTCAGCCTAGCCAGGGCAGGTGGGGCAGGAGGGATACAGGCACAGCTCACTCCAGGCAGAAGGAG